GTCATATAGCCAGAACTCGGGTGCCTTAGTCGGAGAATGAGCTTCACTGGTATGGAAGGAGTTTCCTCTTACTTGAAAACTTCATCATAAAAATGTTCCTATACAGAAGAGAATCAAAAATACACTGACACTCCTGAACTCTGTGGTGGCGCAGAGAAGCTATAGCTCTTCAGATTTAGGCAACATGGTGGAATCTTGTTGGAACAGCCTAGAATTAGAGATGCTAAATGCAACACCATGCTTTGAAAGAAGCCAGTGTGCAGACACCTCAAAAAGAATGTCAGGCCTGAGTATTTGGTCTCTGCCCTGGAGCCAGGCCTTATGGGCTGAGATTCCAGGCCCTAGACATGACAGAGGGCCTGTCACCATGAGAAAGCCACATCTCTGGGACACACTGGGCTATGAAGGAAGACATTTTCCCCAGTGATGACCCCCAGTCTCTGCTGGCAGCTGTCATGAAGGAATGAGAGGCTTCTGCGTAGTCATGCCCCCTCCTCTGATCGAGCTGGTGTTCACATCCCAAAGGACCAGAGCAAGAACAGACCCTCCCTGGAGATACAGGTCTTCACCCAGACTCCCCGGGTGCCAGAAATGGGTGCGAACCCCTCAGCAGAATTGGACTGTAAGGACAAAACGCCTCTTAGGCTTGCAAGGTACAGCCCCAAGAACACACCCTGGAATGTTCAAAATGTAAACCTGTAGAACGAACTAAGGGAGAGAATTAAAAACAGGAGCAAGAAATAAAAGACTATCAAAAAAGACCATACAGATTTTTTAAAGTATCATGTGAAACATCTGGAAATGAAAATTATCACTAAAAGTTAAGAATCAGTGGCCAGACTACATAGCTTATATTCTTAGGAAAATTGCCTAGACCGAGGCATAGAATGAGATGAGAAGTATAAAAGAGGTGAGAGATGTGGCGGAGAGAATGGGGTTTAACAGGATCTGGTCTGCACTCCAGAGGAGAGGGAGGGTTGTAGGACAGATGATTCTAAAGGAGAGTGGTAGAGAACCTTTCTTATGAGAACAAGAGTCCTCAAGTTCAGGAACAACTACTTTTTGCGGGTTCCTGAGCACCACTGTGTGAGACGACTTGGCTGCCTGTGCTGAGTCAGGCAGGTTCTGGATGCTCTTCTCTGGGGATATCTGCTCTGTCCTCGCTGCCAGAAGATGCTGTGCCTCAGAAAGGCCTTTCCTCACATGGAAGCCACTTTCAGGAAGTGGACTCCTGAAAATAGGCCACTCCTTCAGCCCTCTATAGGAAGAGGCAACAGCCATAGGCCAATGTGGAGACACTCCTTAGAATCTTGCATTTGCTAGCTGAGTGATAAGACATGGGCATCCACCTCACAGAAGCCCAACACGAGGCCAGTATGTGTGAAGAGAAAGGCCAAGATGCCGTCACATTCCTGTTTCTTAAAGATGAGGTGGGTAGAGTGTCCAAGCTTGTGTTCACCCAAGAGAAGTGCCAGGGACGATGTCTCTTTGTAGAACCACTATCAGGAAACACGCTGGGATGGGTACTCAGGTGCTGGCAGGGCGTGGGTGTGGATGTCGCCCTGGCCTTTTTCATCCTCTGTTCCCCTTGGTCCTCTGCCTTTGGGCTCCACATGAAGTCCTCAGAGCCTGCAGATCGCAGTTTGAAGGGGGCTTTCAGGTAACCTGTTGGGCAGCCCTGCCCCTCTACAGCCCTCTAAACATATGTGTAACCCCACACGCCACTGACTGCTGCAGCACAGACTTACCTTCTTCCTGGACTGCCAGTCTTTTGCACAACTTGACAATTACCATTTGGAATGCACATAAATTCTACTTTGCTTCCAATTGGATAATATAAACAAAAATAGCAAAATGCCTAACAAACATTTTGGTTGGCTGCAACAGCTAGGAGTGGCTCCTGCCTCCCCACTGACTTCCCTCCACCAATAGCAGCTGAGAATGTGCTCTAACGCTAGAACTGGAGGGGTCTTCTCACATGGGCATGCAGCTCTGGGTCAGCAGTGTAGCCAGCCAGATTATATGTGTGCCATGTGGTGGCACAGGCAGCATGTGTTCCTGCAGGAATGTCTGCAGCACACCGTGTCTCTGTTTTGGGCAGCTCAGCTGCTGTGGACGTGCCGACCCTCAGCATGGTCTGAGCCACAGGTTGTGGCCACACTTTCAGTCTTCGTCTTTCATGAGGCATCTTTGGTGCCCCTTCTCCCCAGAAGTCCTGTAGATGATGTAGCATCTCAGCCTGGTGGATATGCAGGTTTGCTGGGCTTTGAGGCTAAGAAGTGGGCCTTGTGGATGCCAGTTGGTGCATGTGCTTCGAAAAGCTACATTTATAGTCAGAGATTGGCTTCTTAGCAGATATTTTAGCTGGAGTCTTTTGTTGTTGTTGTTGTTGTTTGGACAAGTAAATCTTGTTGAAGGCCATGGGTAATTGTATAAGCAGTTTGCTGTGTCCAGGGAATAAGTTCTTCCTGAGAGGGTGGAACAAGGCTTCTGTGATGCCACATGGGATGCAGGGAAGGGTGTCATGGTTCCCAAACATCAGTGGGAGTAGCTGGACGTCTCCTGGCTGAGCAGGGGCCAGCAGTCAGTGGGCTACAAGGAGGGTCAGCTGTTGTCCCTGAAGCCCAGGCCTGCGTGTCCCACTATTGGCATACAACCAAAGCACATGGCAGCAGCTGCTCTGCAGGACTGGGTCAGGTTCTGTTTGCAGTTCTTAGCTGCTCAGCAAAGGGAAGCACGCAGTGGGCTCCTGCCCTCACAGTTTTTAGACAGCCTTGTAAAGAATGCATGCCCCTTGATTATCACCTGGTACATTTCCACTAGGTTGATATCTTAAGTATAACTTGGGAGGCTGAAGCTAGAAGGTCATTTGAGACCAGCATAGGCAACATAGACCCTGTTTGAAAAAAAAAAAGTCTGTGCATTGGGATCCAAAGACACCCTGAATAGCACAAACTGCACAGAAGCAGGGATGGACCACTCACTTTTGACTCCTGAACTTACTAATCCTGTGAGGTGTGTGTTTTTCTGAGATTTTGCTATCATTATATTCTCAGCAAACTTCACCTGTCCCAAATGATCACATTGTACTGCTCCAGGTGAGAGGGTGAAGGAGCAGGTCTGTGAATATGCTCAGTATGGTTGGGGGCATGGGTCACGCAAAAGTCAGCATCTTCTCTGGGTGGATCTGAGCAGACCTGCAGGTACCCAACCCTACCTCTAGGGCATCTGAAGTCCCAGAGCACAAGGACACAGGTAGATTGAGCTTGCTTTCCTTGAGGGAGGCCAGAGAAGTGTCTGACCTCCTGGTGTGGTTTCTGTCACTGTGTGGACATTGTCACAGGAAGCAGCACCCCTAGGGATACAGGCAAGGTGCAGTGCATGGGCACAGTGAGATCATGATAAAACCTCCACACTCTGACTCAGCCACTCACCATGGCCCTGAGCCATTGCTGCTGGGGTGAGACTGTCTCCCCTGGCACTGCACAGCCAGTACAGTTCAAGTTCTGTCTGAAATTTTCTTTCTCAGATTTGTACATTACAGCTTGTTTAGAAACTAGGTGGTGGTGGTCTACGGAATTCAGGGAGTTTTGCTGTGAGTTGTAAAACGGGTGGATGTCACTGCCGCCTACAGTCTTGTCACATAAAACGCCTAAGTCAGCATTCTCAGCAAGTCACAAATTTAGTTTTAAAAGGCATTCTAAGATACTTTTTAAAGAACTTGCTAGAAGTTGTTTAACAGAAGACTCTGGGTAAGAGAATGGCAGAATGGTCATGGGGACTAAGGTGATCAGAGGGATGTACTGTCAAGAGCTAAACCTGCAAACCAGCTGAAGACCAGTCTTCAGTGACAGACGATGTGTGATCCACTGAGGCCATTTTCTTAGAGTTATCACCCACTTCTAGAGGGTCAGACATTGGCCATGAGAGCCAGTTCAGTCCTGCAGAAAGGGGCTTCTTGGATTTGTGGAAAGGAAAACTCCCCAGAAGAAAACCTCAGGCCCTTGCCTCCTGTAGTGATTCTCCATCCCCACACCAGGCCCTTGGTAAAGCTGTATCACACAGCTTGCATACGTGGGGAACCCTGAAACCACCTTGGCCCTGATCAGGGGCTTCCCCAGAATCATGAGGCATTGAGGACCCAGAGGCTTGCCCCTATCTCCATCACAGGAGAGCCACCACTGGGCAAGGAGGAGAGTGAGCCTTTGAACTCCTGAATCAGGCTTTAGGGTGCCTTTTTTCCCCATTCCACCTCTGTTCAGAGAAGCAGTGCAGTCTTTCTGATAGAGGTCAGCAAGGCGTTTTGTCACAGGTCAGAGGCGCCCAGGACTTGCTTGTTAGGAGGCGGCTAAGATGGAACAGCCGAGCTGTTACATCGTATCTTGTTAGTGCTCTGTGTTGATGCCTTTAGATGCCTCCAGCTCAGTCCATGTTGTGGTACTGCAAGGCTGGTACGCTCCTCGAAGCACCATGGCATGAAATGGAGGTTCCTAGAAGCAAGAAGAAAGGTACAGTACTGACAAGTTGGCCTTGATTTATTTATGTATTTTAAACTGTGTCTGCCATTTAATACCTGCACTGTTTGTTTGGAGGAGGGCTGGGAAGGAGGAGTTTAATTGCAGACACGTGTATTAACAGAGACCTGTCCAGTGTGGGATAGGTCAGCGGTGCTAAACCATCCTGCTGCCTTCTGTGTGTGGCACGAGGTTGGGAGGCTCAGGAGAAGCACCTGCAGGGAGCGAATGGTTGGTGGAGGCCGAGACTTAGACCCGATGGGCTGACAACAGGGCGTTTAAACTGTGTCTGTCACAGCTACTGCTCACAAAGGTGGGGTGGCATCAATGCTCCCAGCACTGTCCCTTCTCCCTCTCACAGGCCTTCCTGTTGCTCTCTAAGCTGTCGGGTGGAGTGCAGGGGCTCCATAAATGTTAGGTAAGGACCTGGGTTCTGAGGACTTGGCATGAAGTCTCCCCTCCCTTTCTCCCTCACCTGCTGCACAGAGAAGCAGGGTCCTGAACGGAAGAGGATCAAGAAGGAGCCTGTTGCCCGCAAGTCTGGGCTGCTGTTTGGCATGGGGCTGTCTGGGATCCGAGCTGGCTACCCACTTTCTGAGCGCCAGCAAGTGGCTCTCCTCATGCAGATGACAGCCGAGGAGTCTGCCAACAGCCCAGGTGAGCCTGCAGGTGCTGGTGGGTGGTCTCTGAGACTGGCAGGTACTGGTTATATTGATGGTGGGTCCTATGCAGATCCCTTCACCTCATGAAAATGGTCAGGTTCTGGAGGTTTCCACAAAGCCATACCATCTTCAGTAATGTCCTGCCTTTTCCCTCCTTGGCCTGCAGTAGACACAACACCAAAGCACCCTTCCCAGTCTACAGTGTGTCAGAAGGGGACGCCCAACTCTGCCTCAAAAACCAAAGATAAAGTGAACAAGAGAAACGAGCGAGGAGAGACCCGCCTCCACCGAGCCGCCATCCGGGGGGATGCCCGGCGCATCAAGGAGCTTATCAGTGAGGGCGCGGATGTGAATGTCAAGGACTTCGCAGGTAAGCACTTGCGCTCCTGGCCAGCTTGTCCTTTCCTTCCTGAGGTAGGTCAGGTGTACACCCTAAGCCCTGGAGGGGGCTGCCCTGCATCGCACTGTGGGTCAGTGAGGGATGTAGTTGGTCCTGTGCCCAACCACACACACACACACACACACACACACACAACAACAACATGGTTTGTGTTTCTGAGGAGCAATTAGTGCCTCTGGGAAGTATTTCAAACTAGAATCATTTTCTTGGATTTTGTTACTTTTAAGAGAACTGAGGAGTTTGAAGTATTTTCTCTGCTGTGTGTCAGCCCCAAGTCCAAGCTGTGTTGTTTAGGAAGTAACTGTCATCCTAGCAGGGGGCGTGTTGTACTGCCAACTGAGTGCTCAGGCGTGTGCCCACATTGAGGTGTGAGGACACACCCTCACCCACCTAATTTGCTGCAGAAAATTGAATGAGGAGGCAGGACAGGTCACCTTTTTTACATTAAGAACTGAAAGCACCTCCCCAGACCTGATCCATGGCCAGGCCTTGTTTATTGTAGGGCTGAGTCCAGTGCTGCCTTCTTTTTTTGCATGAAATGCAGTCCACCATGACGCACTGCCACACCATCCAGAGCTGAGTGCTTACGGTGGAGGGAGAGCAGGAGGCAAGTGAGACAGACAGGCTTCATGTGGGACCCCAGGTCTCTCCTGCTAGTTATCTGGCCCCTGCCTAATTCAGTGTCATACTTTAAAGCAATTTCCATGTGAAGCTTTTCTGAGATGCTGACACTCTTGGGGGAGGTGAATCCTGCTCTCACTGGTGTGTGTGGTCACTCTGTCTGATGGTAGAGTTGTGGCTTCCTGGGGGTACTGCCTGCCAGGGGTGCCTCCCTTCCATGGCCTGAGCCCAGGAGCATCCAGAAGAGCTCCTGTAGCAGCCAGCCCTGAAGTCCTCAGTAGCAATCCCAGTCTCGGTTTTCCTGTTTCCAAAATGAGAGGGTTTTCTTTTGCTGCGTTGATTGATGAGTAGGCTTAAGGCTCTTGTTTGTTACAGTGTGTGTCCACAGATTTTTCTACCCTTATTAGGGTTATTGTCACAGTCTGTTAATCTGCAAATTTATCTGTGGTGAAAATGAGGCACCACAGTAAGGAAAATTTAGGACTTGTCGGAGCCATAAGTGCAGGTGGCTTCCCTCCCTGATCCCTGGTCATGTAACACATTTCAGTCAGGAGTGAGGCTCTTGAGGGTTACATAACAAGTGTCCTAAGTGTCTGTTTCCAGGCTGGACAGCGCTGCACGAGGCGTGCAACCGGGGCTACTATGACATCGCCAAGCAGCTGCTGGCCGCAGGTGCGGAGGTGAACACCAAGGGCCTGGATGATGACACACCTTTACATGATGCTGCCAACAACGGGCACTACAAGGTTGGCATCTCCCTGCGCCCCTCTGTCCTCTGACTTCTGGACCATTCTACAGCTTCATGTTTCTCTATCTTAGCTAGCCTTCCTGTTACTGGGTTCTGAGAAGTAAGTTGAATCCCCACCCCCAAAGGCCTAGCTGTCTCCTGTGCCTGTCCCCACCTTTCTTGCACTGGACAGCTTCTCACAGATTTGACAGTAATCACCACTATAGCACATGTACAGTGTCATCCCTCAGCCACTTAGGTCTGGCTGATTTAGCAGGTGGATAGCCCAATAGAAAGGGTAGCAGCATGAGTTGATGCCAGCTCCCTGACATCATCACTGTGACACTGCTCCACCTGGAAGGCAGATCCAGAAGTCTGGGATGAGAGTCAAGATTAGACCATTGTGACAGGTCAGGGGCTCAGCCTCCTGGGGAAAGGGCTGCCTCCAAGTCTAGAGATACACAGAATGTGCCAGACACACTTCATCCTGGAGAGCAGGATGCAGAGGTCACCATGGTCTCATTGATATCATTATCCAAGCCCCAATCCAGAGACTGGACCGTGACCATCATGGTGAGGGCCATGGTGTCTTACCATGCAAACCACTTCCACCCATGTTCATAGTACTGAAAAGCAGACCCTACCTGGCCATTTTCAGAAGATGCCAGGAACCTGTATCATTTAAGACCCAAAGAACACAGCAGGACACAGTGAATCGTTACAGGGAGAGGGCTCTGTGTTAAGATTTTGGAGATAACTGGGAAACTCAAATTTGAATATGATTTCATATTTGATGTCAAAGAGTTACTGTTAAATTTTTAGGTGAGGCAATGGCATTGTGGTTTGTTTTGTGTACTTTTCTAAAGACTGTGTTAGAGAAACATACTGAAAAAGTTTGTGTGATGTCTGAGAATTGCTAAAGAGTACCTAGCAGTGGGCAGTATGGGTGAGGTGAGACTGGCGGGGAGCGGGAAGAAGATGGAATGAGGGGGTGCGGGGTAATGGGGGAGCCATCACCTGAATCTCTATACTTCTGTCACAGTCCATCTTTTTTTATTATGGAAAACGTCATAAGCTATGGGAACGCAGTGAAGTGGGCAGGACCGTGACCTCTCACGGGGGAGGTCATCTGAGGTGGTTTGGCAAGCAGCTTAGTAGCTTCTTCTTTCTGGGTGCAGGAGATGAAACACGTGCAGATACAGGAGGCCTAAGAGGGTGTTGGTCTGCATCACTGGCCCTAGGGGAAGGCCACGGCTCAGGAAGTTGGTATCTTCTGACAGCAGGGGACTGAGACGTTGGTCTCCTGAGACGTTGGTGCCAGAAAGAACCAAGTTCTGCTCTCAGCCCTCACAATGAAGGAAGAAAGGAGAGAGCTAGTTTTACCCCTTGTTATTAACCAAGTCAGTGAGGCTCATTTCTCCAGACTCTGAGGCAGGTCATGGTGATTTGTCACAGCAGCAGTAGAAAACTCATACACATAAAAACTCTGTGCTTATGACACAGTGCAAAACAGACTGTGAGTAATAAGAGTGTATGTTAAACTTGACCTCAGACCGGACTAAAGTTGAGGTTAGATTTAATGTTCGCACTTGAGTTCAGCAAGTTGCTGTTTTAGAAATATGAAACACGGTTTGCGGATTATAAACAATTGAACCGACCTGTTGCAATGTCACCTAAAATGTCTGTCACCCATGTAACCACCCTTATGCATGTAAAATCAAGCAAGGAAGAGATTATCTTATTTTCTAATGTAAATGAAAATAAATAAATAAGCTTGCAGAAACTTGGTCTTTGTTTCCTCTATTCTGTGCACCCCTGTCCCTCAAAACAACCCCAAACTACCAGAGCCCTACACACCCATCCACGGGCCCGCATGTTAATCAGCTTGCTGTTGGCGGGAGGTGAGCCATTTTGAGAAGATTCCAGAGACATGACTAAGTTGTGCAAAGGAGAAATGGAGGAAATGCAAAGAAGGCAAAGCGCTTCTGCCCTCACTGAAGAGGACAGCCTGTTCGGCACCCAGAGACCCTCCTTCAGGGACTGCACATGGCACCTACACCAGAGCCTCAGGGCTATTCATTCACGCACGCAGTTCTTGGATGGGCTATAGTTTCACACAGGAATGACAGCATAGTTGTGTTTCTCACACAATCTCTAAGGTGTTTGTTATGTTTTGTAGGTGGTGAAGTTGTTATTACGGTATGGCGGAAACCCTCAACAAAGCAACAGGAAAGGCGAGACGCCATTGAAAGTAGCCAACTCCCCAACGATGGTGAATCTCCTGTTAGGCAAAGGCACATACACTTCCAGTGAGGAGAGCTCCACTGGTAAGTGCAAGTGCAGGCTGGGTGGGTTGGGGAGCCACCACGCAGGGTTGCCATGAGCCTCACTGCTGATATACCTGCAGTCAGTCTGTCTGCTGAGATACCAGCCCTGTCTTTCACACCTCTGTAGGTCTCTTCTGTCCATGGTTGGGCAGATGACTAAACCAAGTGAAGTGCTTCCCCCGAAATGGAACCAATCTCCTCTCCTGGGTGGACACACATCCAGGGGCTTTTCCTTTCACAGCTGCAGAGCATCCCAGGCATGTGTTAGCAGAGTGGTCTAAACTACCTGACATCTTCCTTCCTATCCCAACAGAGAGCTCTGAAGAGGAGGATGCCCCATCATTTGCACCGTCTAGCTCTGTCGATGGCAATAACACGGACTCTGAGTTTGAAAAGGGCCTGAAGCTCAAGACTAAGAATCCAGAGCCACAGAAAACTGTTACTCCTGTCAAGGATGAATATGAGTTTGACGAGGATGATGAGCAGGACAGGGTTCCTCCTGTGGATGACAAGCACTTGCTAAAGAAGGACTACAGGAAGGAAACTAAGTCAAACAGCTTCATTTCAATACCCAAAATGGAAGTGAAGAGTTACACAAAAAATAACACGCTTGCACCAAAGAAGGCGGCCCATCGCATCTTGTCAGACACGTCCGATGAGGAGGACGTAACTGTTGCTGTAGGGGCCGGAGAGAAGTTGAGGCTTTCGGCACACACCATGCTGCCCAGTAGTAAGGCAAGAGAGTCTTCCAGTTCCAGGCAGCAGAAGGAAAAAAATAAAGTGAAAAAGAAGCGAAAGAAAGAAATAAAAGGCAAAGAAGTACGGTTTGGAAAGAGGAATGACAAGTTCTGTTCTTCTGGGTCAGAAAGTGAGTCCTCAGAGAGTGACGAGGATGATGGAGACTCCGTGGGGAGCTCAGGCTGCCTCAAGGGTTCCCCACTGGTGCTGAAGGACCCCTCCCTGTTCAGCTCACTGTCTGCCTCCTCCACCTCATCACATGGCAGCACAGTGGCCCAGAAGCATAACCCCAGCCACACTGACCAGCACGCCAAACACTGGCGCACGGACAATTGGAAAGCCATCTCTTCCCCAGCCTGGTCTGAGGTCAGCTCTTTGTCAGACTCCTCAAGGACGGGACTAACAAGCGAGTCTGACTGTTCCTCTGAGGGCTCCAGCGTGGAGTCGCTGAAGCCTGCAAGGAGGAAGCAGGAACACCGCAAGAGGGGCAGCCTGCAGAGTGCTCAGCCCGAGAAGAGGAGCACCTTCCACCCCAGCACGGATGGCGCTGTCCCCAAGCTGGACAAGGAAGGGAAGGTCATCAAAAAACACAAGACAAAACACAAACACAAAAGTAAGGAAAAGGGGCAGTGCTCAGTCAGCCAGGAACTTAAACTGAAAAGCTTTACATATGAATATGAAGACTCCAAGCAAAAGCCAGATAAGGCCATCCTCTTAGACAATGACATTTCCACTGAAAATAAGTTGAAAGTGTTGAAGCACGACAGAGACCATCTTAAGAAAGAAGAGAAACTTGGCAAGATGAAGTCAGAGGAAAAAGAGTGGCTATTTAAGGATGAGGTCCTCAAGGTCTCCAAGGATGAGAAGGCACTGAAAAGAATCAAAGACATGAACAAAGACATTTGCAGGTCTTTCCGGGAAGAGAAAGACCGTTCCAGTAAAGCAGAAAGGGAGAAATCCTCGAAGGAAAAGTCTCCCAAGGAGGAGAAACTGAGATTGTACAAAGAGGAGAGGAAGAAAAAATCCAAAGACCGACCCTCCAAGTTGGAAAAGAAGAATGACATGAAAGAGGACAGGGTTTCCAAGGAGAAGGAGAAGGTGTTCAAAGATGACAAAGAAAAACTCAAAAAGGAAAAGGCATACAGGGAAGATGCTGCTTTTGATGAATATTGTAACAAAAATCAATTTCTAGAGAATGAGGACACCAAATTCAGTCTTTCTGATGATCAGCAAGATAGGTGGTTTTCCGACCTGTCTGATTCCTCCTTTGATTTCAAAGGGGAGGACAGCTGGGACTCTCCAGTCACAGACTACAGGGACATCAAGAGTGACTCAGTAGCCAAACTTATCCTGGAAACAGTGAAAGAGGATAATAAGGAAAGGAAGCGGGACAATAAAGCCCGGGAAAAGCGAGACTTCAGAGACTCTTTCTTCCGAAAGAAAGACAGGGACTTTTTAGACAAGAACTCTGAGAAGAGGAGAGACCAAATAGAAAAGCATAAAAGCATCCCCAGCTATCTCTCTGAGAAAGACAAGAAAAGGAGAGAGTCTGCTGAAGGTGGGCGGGATAGGAGGGACCCCCTGGAGGGTTCCCGGGAGCGGAGGGATGGGCGTATGCGGCCTGATGAGGTGCACAGGGAGGACCTGAAGGAGTGTGGCTGCGAGACCACCTTCAAGGACAAGCCGGACTGTGACTTTGCCAAGAGCCTGGAGCCCTGGGAACGGCCCCATGCAGCACGAGAGAAGGAGAAGAAAGATGGTCTGGAAAAAGAAAGAAAGGAAAAGATGAGGACAGAAAAATACAAAGATAAGTCCAGTGAGAGAGACAGAAATGAGAAGTCCATCCTTGAGAAGTGTCAGAAGGACAAGGAATTTGATAAATGTTTTAAAGAAAAGAAAGATGGCAAGGAAAAGCATAAAGAGCTGCATGGCAAAGACAAAGACAGAAAAGTGTCACTTGACCAAGCGAGAGAGAAGAAGGAGAAAACATTCTCTGGAATCATCTCGGAAGACTTTTCTGAAAAAAAAGATGACAAAAAGGGAAAAGAAAAGAGCTGGTACATCGCCGACATATTCACAGACGAAAGTGAAGATGAGAAAGATGGTTACATGGCCAGTGGGTTCAAGGTTGGAGAGGCCAGTGAGGTGCAGAGAGTGGACAGCCTTCAAGAGAAGGAAGATGGGAGAGAGCCACATCCCTCAGACAGGCACAGGAAGTCCTCTTCTGACAGGCAGCATTCAGAGAAGCCAAGAGACAAAGAATCCAAGGAGAAGAAAAAGGACAGAGGTGCTGCCGAAGTCGGGAAGGACAAGAAGGAAAAGATCTTTGAGAAGCACAAAGAGAAGAAGGATAAAGAGTGTATGGAAAAATATAAGGACAGGAAAGACAGAGCTTCTGTCGACTCTGCCCAAGAAAAGAAAAATAAACAGAAACTCCCTGAGAAGGTGGAGAAGAAGCATTCTGGTGAAGACAAGGCCAAGAGTAAGCACAAGGATAAGCTAGAGAAAGAGCACTCCCGAGAGAGAAAGGCCTCTCGGGGCACTGAGGTGGAGAAGAGCCTGCTGGAGAAGCTGGAGGAGGAGGCTCTGCATGAATATCGAGAGGACTCCAATGACAAAATCAGTGAGGTTTCATCCGACAGCTTTGCAGACCGGGGCCAGGAGACAGGCCTGAGTACCCTCCTGGAGGTGTCCTTCTCAGAGCCGCCATTGGAGGACAAGACCAGGGAGAGCTCCTGTCTCGCAGACAAGCTGAGGGAGAAAGAAAGGCACAGGCACTCCTCATCATCCTCCAAGAAAAGCCACGAGCGGGAGCGAGCCAAGAAGGAAAAGGCTGAGAAGAAAGAAAAGAGTGATGACTACAAGGACAGCTGCAGCAGGAAGGACTCTAGCCAATACGAAAAGGACTTCTTGGATGCTGACACTTATGGGATTGCTTATACCACGAAAGCTGACATCGAAGAGGAGCTAGATAAAACCATTGAATTATTTTCTGCTGAAAAGAAAGACAGAAATGATTCTGAAAGAGAACCTTCCAAGAAAATAGAAAAGGAACTAAAGCCCTACGGATCTAGTACCATCAACATCCTGAAGGAGAGGAAGAAGAGAGAGAAGCACAGGGAGAAGTGGAGAGACGAGAAGGAGAAACACAGGGACAAGCATGCAGATGGGTTCCTGAGGCACCATAAGGATGAGCCGAAGCTCGTAGCCAAAGACAAGGACAACCCTCCAAACTCCTTCAAGGAGAAGTGCAAAGAGGAGACTTTAAAGCTCAGTGAGGCCAAGCTGAAGGAGAAGTTCAAGGAGAACACAGAGCGAGACAAGGGCGACCCTGTGAAGATGAGCAATGGGAATGAGAAGCTCCCATCCAGAGACCCAGGCAAGAAAGACACCAGGCCCCGGGAGAAGCTTCTAGGAGATGGCGACCTGATGATGACGAGCTTTGAGAGGATGCTGTCCCAAAAGGACCTGGAGATCGAGGAGCGGCACAAGCGGCACAAGGAGCGCATGAAGCAGATGGAGAAGATGAGGCACAGGTCTGGAGATCCCAAGCTCAAGGAGAAGATGAAGCCCATGGATGATGGGCGAAAGAAGAGCCTGGACATTCCTTCAAAAAAACCTCTGGGGCTGGACCCTCCTTTTAAAGACAGAAAGCCCAAGGAATCAACTCCCTTGCTGCCCACCGCCGAAAGCAAGCCACATACAGGACCAGGTGCAGAGTCCAAAGACTGGCTAGCTGGGCCACCACTGAAGGAAGTCCTGCCTGCATCACCCCGGCCTGAGCAGGGCCGGCCCACTGGGGTGCCCACCCCCACCTCTGTTGTGTCATGCCCCAGCTATGAGGAAGTGATGCACACGCCCAGGACCCCATCCTGCAGCGCTGACGATTACCCCGACCTGGTGTTCGACTGCGCTGACTCCCAACACTCAATGCCTGTCTCCACCACGTCCACCAGCGCCTGCTCCCCGCCCTTTTTTGACAGATTCTCTGTGACCTCCAGTGGGGTTTCTGAAAACCCAGGTCAGACACCCACGAGGCCAGTCTCTGCCAGTTTGTACCGCTCAATCTCTGTGGACATCAGGAGGACCCCCGAGGAGGAATTTAGTGTTGGGGACAAGCTGTTCAGGCAGCAGAGTGTCCCTGCGGCCTCCAGTTTTGACTCCCCAGTGCAGCACTTACTAGAGGACAAGGCTCCTCTGCCTCCTGTTCCCACAGAGAAATTTGCCTGCCTGTCCCCAGGGTATTACTCCCCAGACTACGGTATCCCCTCACCCAAGGCAGACACTTTGCACTGCCCACCAACCACTGTGGTTAACACCACACCATCCCCAGAGGGTGTCTTCTCCAGCCTACCAGCAAAGTCCTCCCCTTCCCCCAGGGGCGAGTTGCTAGCCCCAACCATTGAAGGGGCCCTGCCTCCAGACCTGGGCCTCCCTCTGGATGCCACAGAGGACCAGCAGGCCACAGCTGCCATCATCCCCCCAGAGCCCAGCTACTTGGAGCCCCTGGACGAGGGCCCCTTCAGCACTGTCATCACAGAGGAGCCTGTCGAGTGGGCCCACCCTACCACTGAGCAGGCCCTTTCTTCCACCTTAATTGCGAGTGCCTCCGAAAACTCTGTCAGTTGGCCTGTGGGCCCTGACCTTCTGCTAAAGTCTCCACAGAGGTTCCCAGAATCCCCAAAACATTTCTGCCCCACAGAATCCCTCCACCCCACGGCCCCAGGCCCCTTCAGTGCTGCCGAGCCACCGTACCCTGTTTCTCCAGTATCTTACCCTTTGCCGGCTACTGAGCCAGGCCTGGAAGAAGTCAAAGGTGACGGGGCAGGAGCAGTCCCAGCTGCCATGTCTGCTGCAGAAGGAGCCGCTCCATACACTGCTCCTGCCAGGCTGGAATCCTTCTTTGGCAACTGTGAGTCACTTCCGGATACACCCCTTGACACAACCCCCGAGTCCACGTGCGTCACTACTGTGGCTCAGGTGGAGGCTCTGGGGCCTCTGGAGAGCAGCTTCCTAGAGAGCGGCCATAGCCTACCCACCCTCGGCCAGGTGGAGCCAGGGCCCTGGCACGACGCCTTTGTCAGCCCCGAGGATGATCTGGACCTGGGGCCCTTCTCACTGCCAGAGCTCCCTCTCCAGGCCAAAGACACTTCAGACGTTGAGGCAGAAGCTGTGGAGGGAATTCCCATTCCTCCAGAAGAGAGCCCTCTGGGAGCCACTGAAGTCCTCAGTGGTGAGGGTGTCTCCACACTAGTGGCTGAGGGACAGCCAGCACCATCTGAGCAGTCACCCTCCCAGCCCCACACCGAGCCCGAGCCCTCAGAAGGGCCGAAGACACATGTAGCTGCAGAAGCCATGGCAGAAGTAGAGACTGTGGCAGACAAGAGGGCCCCTGAGGACTCTAACTCCAGCTTGGTGCCTGTGCCTGGGCCCCCTGAACAGTGTCCCATGAGGGGTAATGAGGAGACAGAGACTGAAGATCCCTGTGCCACTCCCCACTGTGTGCCTGATGGCCCTAGTGTGGATGGCGTAACACAGGCACTTGACAGCGCCGAGGCCACTCATGCCACTGCCCCTGTCCCTCCTCCTGTCCCTGCCCCTGCAGAAGGGCCCCCAGGCAGTGTCCAGCCAGAGGCCACAGATCCGGAGCCTAAGCCTATGGCCGAAACCCCTAAGAACCCCAAGGTGGAGGAGGTCCCTCAGCGCATGACCAGGAATCGGGCCCAGATGCTGGCTAGCCAGAGCAAGCAGAGCACACCCCCTCCAGAGAAGGAACCAGCGCCTGCCCCTGCCTCCAGAGCCAAGGGCCGAGCCTCTGAGGAGGAGGATGCCCAGGCTCAGCACCCCCGCAAGCGCCGTTTTCAGCGCTCCAGCCAGCAGCTGCAGCAGCAGCTGAATACATCCACACAGCAGACACGGGAGGTCATCCAGCAGACACTGGCTGCCATCGTGGATGCCATCAAGCTGGACGCCATCGAGCCCTACCACAGTGACAGGTCCAACCCATACTTTGAGTACCTTCAGATCAGAAAGAAGATCGAAGAAAAGCGCAAGATCCTCTGCTGCATCACACCGCAGGCGCCCCAGTGCTATGCCGAGTACGTCACCTACACGGGGTCCTACCTCCTGGACGGCAAGCCCCTCAGCAAGCTGCACATCCCCGTGGTGAGTTCCCCAATGTCTGCATAGGCAGGAGCTGTGTTCACACCTTTAGGGTCAGTGTCTCTGGTCACCAGCAGCCCAGTCCTCAGTCCCATACACCCAGCTCCTCCCCACAACCATGCACCTGCTCTGCAGATCAGGGTCCTTATCTAGCACTGTCCCTGCAGTCTCTGGCCTCGCCACATCCTCCTCCTGCTGAAGCTCATCTGCCCAGCTCCCTTCCTTCCTGCTGCTATCTCCTGTCAACTCCCCTTTCACAGTGAAAGGCCTCAACTGACTTGTCCTTGTCTCAGCCGTTACCCCTGCTGTTGTAGTTCCTACATTTCACTGCAGCCCCAAATACCCTCCTTCCTGCATCTTTCCTTGGGCTTCTAGGACACCAGTGGCTGCTGTGCTCCACTTGGCAGACCTGACTGCTGGCCCTGCCTTGCTTCTGTGTCTTCAGCAGGGTCCTCTGGTAAAGCTCCACCATGCACACCAAAATCTCTTGCAGCCCTCCTCCTTGGGCAGCTTAGAAGCAGCTCAGAACCAGCCTCCTTTCCCCTGGTCTTGCCACATCTGGGCTGACCACATTTCCTGCTAGTTGGATCCTGCCCAGGTGGGCTGCTTCCTCCTGCTCTCTGAGGTCTTCCTCCACACCAGAGGCAAAATGAGCCCCTTTCCACCTCCCTATCCTCAAGTGTCTCCTCCACAGCTGACTCCACTCTGACACAACCATCTCACCCTTGAAGAAAAGGCCAGGCTTCTCTGTGTCGTGTTTCTCAACCTTGATTGGTTCTGTCCTGGCAGTAGAGCCAAGGCTTGTCTTTCTGGGGACCCAGCTGCACGAAGCATGAGGTCTAGGAGGAAATTTCTAGTCCTAAGGGAAGGACCATGCTGCACTTGTTTCTTTGGAGGCACTCTTGGACTGAAGCCCACCTAAGCAGGAGGTGTACCCACCTGACAACCCTTCAAGTGTGAGGGGGGCTTCCAAAGGGCAAGGGTACAAACCATGCTAGAGCCCTTGGATTCCCCTGAGGATAATCCATGCACAGCCAGCTTGACAGTAGGTGGCAGTGTGGGCTACTACATTCATAAAAATCTGGCCTAAGGTTTCTATTCAGTAAGGCTTTTTGTACTTTGTTCTTTTAAGTTTTCATATCAAAACAGAATGACAGGGCTGCTATAGAAAATCTGGAAAATAGAGAAAAAGCAAAAGCAAAAAAAAGGACCATTGTAACCCTGTCACTAAGCTGATCCCTGGTAGTGTTTTGTCAGACTCCATCCATGTCCCAAATACCTTTTAGATGCAGTAGGCAGGATCAGGCTGATACGTCAGGTGTCTTGTATGCCCAGCTTCTTATGCTGTTGCTGGGTCCCTTGCCAGGCACAAGCACCAAACCCCCTACCTGGTATCACCTTAGAGTTGTGTTGTTGGAAAGAAATTTGACATCCAGGGGCTAAGCCTATGAAGGGATGTAATGGGTGAAGTCTGCAGACCAAAATGTGGGTGAACTTTCAACTTTTAACTAATTTTGGATTAATAGAGAAGTCCAAAGTTGAACTGCATAGCGTGCCCAAGGCTCCGTGACACCATTGCTTGATGTTGGGCTTAGCTGTGAGTGGGTCTGTGGCAGGTGTACCACAGTCAGAACCTGAGTCCTGGCACATCACACAGGGTTCTTGGTTGCAGATGTCTGGTTACTGGTGACCAACCTAGAACACCAGCTCGGGCTCCCCTATAGGTAGTTACCTTAGTTCATGCTATCTGCATGATCCTCTCCTCAGACCTTTGTCCTCAGTGTCACCCTTGGGTGACTGTTGTTCTGTGGTCTTTCCTAGTGGTGCTGGGCTTTTGTTTCCTCTTTCCAGTATGTTTGGTGACTAGAGTTCTTCAGTCAGGAGGAGCTGCCCCTCAGCCTGTTGTGGTCATCAGCATCGCCAGTGTTTGCTCTGGTGCAGAGAGTTCCAGCTTTGCACTGAGCACTGCCCCCCTATGCTGCAACACACCCCTTCTCTCCTGAGTACCAGGCCCCAGCCCTGCCATCACCATGTGCTCCTTCAGTGGACAGAGGCGGCAGCATGTGCCTGTCCTGGCCCTGTACATAGTCCACTTATTTGTTCCTGCTTTGGAAGCCTAACCCCATACTGACCTGATTTCTACCCAGCACAGTGGAAGCCTGGCCTCTCATTCATTCCTCTTTGTGTCTTCTTTTTCTGGGCATGGAAGACCTGATCCTCATTAGCTAGGATATGTTTACTTACTTGTTCCCCCTTGCTCCTGACCCATGAGAGACACCTCCAGTGGTTTAGCGTGTGTGGTATGTGCGCTGCTGGTATCCCAGAACCTCTTCCCCAACAGACAGCCATGCTCAGGTACTGGTATCCATGTTCCATTTTGAGGGATAATGGACTCTTTTTGGACCCCACTGGTCTACCCAGTCCCTCCTACTGCCCCAACATTCCTGCTTTACCTCTTTGACATGGATGGGTACTCACACCTGTCCACCTCCCCTCTTCACACAAGGGGCCACGCACCTTTGGGTATATTATACCCTGCCTTTTCACTTCATTCTTTGTAAGGCAAAGTTCGAATGCAGCTCCCCAATGTGGTGTCCCAGAAATCACCTGGTATGGGTGGGTGCTGGGCAGAACCTGTCCCAATGTAAGCTGCTCTTAGTTCAGTCCCACTGACCCCAACCTTCCCTTGCACCTGCAGATTGCACCTCCTCCTTCCCTTGCGGAACCCCTGAAGGAATTGTTCAAGCAGCAGGAGGCCGTACGAGGGAAACTACGTCTGCAGCACAGCATCGAGCGGGTAAGTGAAGCCCCCAAGCGAGCGAGTGAACAAGCAGCAAGCCTGGTGCTCGCACTCAACTGCTCCTTTCTTCCAGGAGAAGCTAATTGTGTCCTGCGAGCAGGAGATCCTGCGGGTTCATTGCCGGGCAGCCAGGACCATTGCCAACCAGGCAGTGCCCTTCAGTGCGTGCACAATGCTCCTGGACTCTGAGGTATACAACATGCCTCTGGAAAGCCAGGTCAGTGGCTCTCCCAAAACGGGGATGCACGTTGTCCCTTTTCCCCAGAACTCCCTCCCAAGAAGAGTTGGTGAGGTCTCCTGCATCAGGCAGTGTAGCAGGAAGCAGCCACACTGCACAAATCCAAGCCCTGCTCATTCACCTGTCAGACAATTAGACTAGGGCTTCTGTACGCATGCCCTGCTGCATGGTGCCCGGGTGGCTTCAGAAAAGACAAGAGGTAGGAGTGGAGCATAGACAAAACCATCAGACCACTGGGTTTGGTTTCTTTAGTTCCTCTAAGGCACTGTGCACACAGATAAGATGAGCAGTCCCCTCTGCCCTCTCACTGTGCCCTCTCACATCACCATGGTGGCAGTGTACTGTTTAAACTTGCAGCCCCTGTCTACAGCTGAGAGTAGCCAGAGCTGGCATGATGGTAGCCCTAGGTCAGTGGGGATAACCGCAGCAAGGAGCTCACATCCCCCATGAGGCCAGCACTGTTGGGCAAGTCTTGTTGCCTTCGGTGGTCACGAGAGCTGCACTGTCCACATTACCTCCAGGGAATACTTGCTGTCCCAACCGAGTGGAACGCAAGGCTCATCACCAGGACCCACCCTCTTCCCAGGGAGCTCAGCTGGAGACTCCAGCCTTTGGGGACATTCACCCCTTGACTGTGGCTCTCCTGTGCCAATCCCTCACCCTCTGAGCCCCAGACTCCCACAGGCATTGTTCTGAGATCACCCTGCGCAGGCTGCAGTGTGGCCTCCACTGCCCCCATGAGCAGTCCCTTCTTTTTCATTATTCCTATGTGCATACAAGGCTTGGGTCATTTCTCCCCCCTGCCCCCACCCCCTCCCTCTTCCCCCCCCACCCCTCACTATAAGGCAGAAACTATTTTGCCCTTATCTCTAATTTTGTTGTAGAGAGAGTATAAGCAATAATAGGAAGGAACAAGGGGTTTTGCTGGTTGAGATAAGGATAGCTATACAGGGCATTGACTCACATTGATTTCCTGTGCGTGGGTGTTACCTTCTAGGTTAATTCTTTTTGATCTCACCTTTTCTCTAGTTCCTGGTCCCCTTCTCCTGTTGCCTTCAGTTGCTTTAAGGTATCTGCTTTAGTTTCTCTGCATTGAGGGCAACAAATGCTATCTGGTTTTTTAGGTGTCTTACCTATCCTCACCCCTCCCTTGTGTGCTCTCGCTTTTATCATGGAGCAGTCCCTTCTTAACCTAGGCCCCTGCTCAGCATGCACTTGCCTAGAACTGGCTCCCTTCTCACTGTTCAGAACTTTGTGATAGGTCTCACCAGCTCCTAACAATAGCAGGACTTGCGCTACACAGTGATTCACTAGTTTTTAGTTAAAAATGTTTTTCAGTGCATTAAAGATCTTCCACTCTGGGAACATGCACACTCCATCTCACATGTGTAACAACAGGCTTTCTTTAAAGCAAAGCATTTGTCAGTAAGCTGTAAAACAGAAGGTTTAGTTGGGGAGCAGATGGTTATTTCAGGGATTGAATGTTTGAAGTATATTTTGCATCAAAGAAAAAATACTAATTTTTCAACAGTTTCCTGGACTGCTTTTGAAAGTCAAAGTCAACAGAAGGTCCCCAACTGAGTCTTTCCATATCCATATTTGATGTCAGACTCCGCACTCAGGTCATGGGAAGGCATGGGCCAGCTGTTCAAGAGCTATTAATGCACGCTACCCTGAGGTTTCTGGGAAGACCCAGTGAGCAAAGCTCAGCAGAGCCTACTACAGCACAGGCCAATCTCCTAGCTCCACTCCATCTTCTGTCCTGAGGGCACCCCTGCTTGCAAACCCATTTAATCATGGTAGAAATAAGGCAGTATGTGATGGTGAAGTGAGGGTTGTAGTCCATTAATCAAACTGCAGAGTGGAATCCAGGAAGGAGACTGATCCCAGGCCACTGAGGACCCTCACTTCCCATCTCAGACTTCTCACGTCTTTTTCAAAGAAGAAAAATTCGTTTTTGACAAGGGAAGAGATTGAAACAAATGGCATTTTTGCATGAACCTGTTTCTGTGTTCTTGAGTCTGTGAAATGGAGGCTGCAGTCTGAAAGACTTTGGTTGTTTCCCCCAGGATACGTGGCTTACTCAGAAAGCCCTACACAGCTATAGCTTTCCTCTGAGCCTTGGCAACCCCCTAGGAGGTCCTGAGTGAGTCTTTGGCCACCAGTACCTAGGAATACTTCCTCCCAAGACATTTTAGAATACCATCAGGAAGAAGGGCAGGATGGTCGTCGTTCTGTTCTCTGCTGGAGAAAAGACCAAGTGTTCAGTTTACCCTCTTACGCTCCCTCACACCTTCTTACAGGCACCTCTGTTTGATTTTACAGGGTGACGAGAACAAGTCTGTGCGAGATCGCTTCAATGCCCGCCAGTTCATCTCCTGGTTACAGGACGTGGACGACAAGTACGACCGTATGAAGGTGAGTGCTGCAGTGCCAGGGCTCTGTGGCCTACAGAAGCCCTTCCCAGTTGTGCTCAGTCCATTGAACTGAGGTCCCACTTCCCTTAGGTTCAGGTGTGTGTGGAATAGCTCCTGGAACTAACTGAACAAGACCCTGGGCTGGACAGTAAGACTTCTGTGGGATCTGACCTTAAGCTGTCCTCAGACAGAGGTCATCACATACTTACCACCCTTGTCCTGAGAGGTTGGAGGTAGATTACAAGTAAGAAGCAAATGCATGCTGGGTGCCAGTGACTCACACCTGTGATCCTGGCTACTCAGGAGGCAGAGATGGGGGGGATCGTGGTTCAAGGCCAACCCAGGCAAATGGTCTGTGAGACCCTATCTCGAAAAACCCTTCACAGAAAAGGGCTAGTGGGGTGACTCAAGGTGTAGACTCTGAGTTCATACCACAGTGCTACCAAAAAAAACCCCAAAGAAGCAAATGCACACTGCAGCTGCTAGGGCTGTGGGCAGTGACTTTCCAGTCACAAAGTTACAGGCAAGACAGACAGCGTCTCCTCTCCACACCTGCTGCTTGTTTGCACTTGCCAAGAGGAGCAACCCTGAGCCTCTGACCCCAGCCCTCATGTGTCTTGGTCAGCATGTTTCCAAGTTTACTCAGGGAGGTGCTAGCAAGGACACAAAGGCCAGTGGATGGGAGAGCCCATCCTGTACTTGAGCCACAGGGTGTTTCAGGCCTGAGGTGAGGCGCAGTCCACATTTCCCACAGCTCCAAGAGAAGTGTAAACTGCCACAGCCGCCTCTAGGTAGCCAGGCACCTTGTCCCAAGTGAGGCCATAAGCACTGCTGACTAGATGATCCAAGGAGAGACTTATCAAGAGAGAAGCAGATTTTTCTTTGTTGTTGTTACAAATGAGGTCACCTAAACATTTTTGCAGTTTGAGTTTTTCCAGTTTGGCAGTACTCGGGGTTGACCTTAGGGCCTCACACTTACTAGGCAGTTGCTCTACCACCTGAGCCACTTTGCAGCCGGAGAAGCAGATTTTTGACCATCACAATAAATTTAGACTTGTACTTTAAAAATGACACAAAAGGTCCTGAGATCAAACCCTAGTACTGTCAAAAACAAAACCTATTTCATTTCATTAATGTGAAAAGAACTCTTACAAACAAGATTAAAAAGTATATAAAGATACAATCCAGGACAAAGGAGATAAACTGATCATTAATTTCAGGATCAAAATACAAATGAGGTTCCTAGAAGAAGACTGCAGTGCTGCGGCCACTGGAGCCAGAGTAAGGGAGCTGGCCACCTCCCTGCAGGGTCCACAGGAATCTCAGCTGACAGTATCTTACCAGATTTCAAAACAGTTTTATCCCTTAACCTTCGAAGACTACTTCACTCATCTAAAACCTAAAGACAGGAACATTCGTTGAGATGCTGCCACCAGTTGGACACCCACAGGCCTTCACCTCTGCGATTCAGTGGAGCATGGACACAGAACCAGCCACTGTCAGTTCCAAGCTTGAACAGCAACACTGAGCATGGCTGACTCCCTGGGCCATATTTAAATCTGTTCCCCTCCATGCAGGCACCTTAGGTGATACTGGGACTTGAACTCAGGGCCTCGCACTTGCTAGGCAGGCGCTCAACCACCTGAGCCTTTCCGCCAGTCCCTTACGTGCACTTTCAAATGGCATGGTTTCTAGTTTCTACTGTGAATGCAAAGAAAATACCACAAATGACTATAAAACAAAAACAGTAAGAGCAAAGTTGATGTGGCTGCTTGCTGGACCGACAACTCCAGTGGATCCCCTGGGGTAGGACAGGGTCATCTGTACAGAGCAATGAGGGTGGGGACAGGCCTCCTGTGTGACCACATCACTGCCCAGTCAGTCAGACACACACAACATGGGAGAGTGAGGGCCTGACTCCAGAAGGGCCTCAGGGAGTGGGTGATAGGTGCAGGCCCCTCAATCAGAAGCTGGGTGGGTTTGCAGGCTGCTGTGCACCGGGGGTGGTGTCAAGAGTCCAGGGCCCTGTTTCTTCTCTGCTCACCATGTGTGTGTGCCCCCACAGACATGCCTCCTGATGCGACAACAGCACGAGGCCGCAGCCCTCAATGCTGTGCAGAGAATGGAGTGGCAGCTGAAAGCCCAGGAGCTGGACCCTGCCGGGCATAAGTCTCTTTGTGTGAATGAGGTGCCCTCCTTCTATGTGCCCATGGTCGATGTCAACGATGACTTTGTGCTGCTGCCGGCTTGAGACCTACAGGAGGGCTGCAGGACATAGACGAGGGCTGCGCAGTCACCCAGTGCTGCCCATGAGTCCCAGCGGTGGTGGAGGAGGACGCACCGTGTGCACCAGGTGGGAGGAGCCCAGAGACTGCACCTGGCCACGCATCTCCCCCTTCCAGACTGGCCCAGATGCCAGGGAGGCAGAACATGTCTCTGCAGGGAGCACGAGGCCCGCACACGCAGAGCCTCGCCCATCTGTGGGAGGAGACTGGCACGCAGACACACAGCGGCTGTCTCAGAGAATGGCGCCCTTGGGTCTTCTTCCAGCCAACTGCAGATTACTTGAGGAGTTGGAGAACAGAGTTCATTTTTAAATTCCTCGTTCCATTCTGATCAATTAAAGGAAATAAACTAAGGCATCCACCTTGCACAGTGACCTTCAGGTGGAGGGGCAGGAGAGTGCCATACCGCATGGTCCTCCAGATAGGCTGGGACACTGGGACGCCGGTGCCTGCAAGGACCCGGCCACCACCTCCCCGGCCGCAGAGGGACACAGCCAGGGCTCTCCGGTCGTGTTTAATGGGGTCAAATCCTCGTGGTTTGTATATTTTTCCTTCAATCTTGGGCATTTTGTTTCTCTTTCTGAGAACGTAACTTGAAACACTACAGAGCCAATAATCCTATAAAAAGAGTGTATCCGCAAACGCTGTACAGTTTTATATACATCCACAATGTACTTTTGCTGCCTTCTAGATAATTTATTTTGCAACACATTACTGCACAGTTGTAAATAACTTATGTACTGTAACATCACTTTCAGTTATGTGTAAAGAAATAAAAAATAAATTAATTAAAATGCTCTTTTTCATGCATCCCTCCCTCCCAGGAGGGTCCAATGTGTACCTGACAAGTAGCTCTGTCTAAAAACTTGAATGTATCAAGTTTTTTGTCCTCGCAAATTGTTTAAATTTTAGCATTGAAACAAACAAACAAACAGTTGTTATTTTCCCTTCTAGGACCCAAACCACCACCTTTTCTGTAAGTAAGTAAGTTGGTACCTCCCTTGGGGATAGTGGGGATCACTGGGCTGCAGCTGTGAAACCTGTCTTGCACTCCAGGAGGAGGACAAGGCTATGGAGCACCTTGAAGCCAGCCTTACCTCTGTCCCTCAGCCTGTGAGGAAACAAGAAGACAGACACAGGAGAGCTCTCCAGCCTCAGAGAGACCTCCCACCAACAGAGTTGCCACCTGAGCTGCTGCTGGAGGCCCGTGGGCTCACAGGTTTCCAGCAACACTACAGCTAGGGCACTCCCCTCCCCGCTCCTCCCTGGCAGGAAGGCCCATGAGGGTGGAGGCCCAGCATGTCTTGGGAGCCAGGACTTGTGCCTCCTACTTGTGCCTGAGAAGGAGCCACTGTCACAGCACAGTGTCTTGCCCTGTGCAAGCAGTGGCCCCTTTCTCTCCTCTGTCCTGTAGTTGCTAGTAGATGCTGCAGAAAGGACCCTTCAGCAGGGCAGGGCCTGTGACAAGGTAGGCAAGGCCTTCACTTGCCCAGATGCACAGGAAACAGCTTTTGTGGATTCCCTCTGTTCCCAGACAGGTCTCACTGTATGTCCTGGGGCGGGGGGGGGGGGGAGCATTTTTGACCAAGACTTGTGGTTTTTCCCTAAATCAGCGCTTTATCATGAAACACTAAGCCCTGTTTCATTTTTTAAAAATTACCTGTATTACCCATAGCTGCACCCAACATCCCTAAGTGCCAGCAGATGAGGCTTCCTTGAAACCCCACATGGGTCAGCTGAGAGCACCGGCTCCACAGGCCTGCCATGGCCCTGCCACAGAAGATACCTGACACAAATGCTTGCATTCCTGAGAGAATGTCAACAGAACAAGCACCCTCCCTGTCAGCACTGTGCTCAAAGGAGCTTACTGGTCTGCAGATAACAGTGTGTTACATGGGGCCTGTGCCTGCCCATATGGGCATTGTGCCACCCTGAGAGGCTCTGTTGGAGCTGAGGAAGGCAGTTGTTCCACCCAACCAAACCTGGTTCTGAGCTGCTGGTGAGGGGTGCTGTCTGCCTCCCAGACTCCTGACTGCCATAGAGCTCAGAAATTCATTAGCAGCAAAGCCAGCTCTGAAGCATGGATGTGCTTGGCAGAACAGACGCACTTACTTACTTACTTACACTCCCAGGTAGGGCAAGGACAGCATTTGTGGCACAGGGTTCACCTCTTAGGACTGGGGGTGGTGCCCAGACTTGGCTAGAAAGACTTAAGTGGGGGTTTTTCCCCCACTTCGCCACAGAATAGGAGCTGACTCTTGTCCTGCAACCTGGAAGTGGGTGATGGTTTTCATAACAACACTTGAGGCCATTGCCTGGTGACCGCATAGAGCCCAGCCAGATCCAAGGCTGGCCCTAGGGCAGGTCTTTATCCAGGGGTTCCATGTCCAGTTTTCACCGGAAACCTGGCAAGGGCTCTGACCTCAGCATAGCACAGCCCATGTGGGTCACCTTTACTTCAGAGGGGTTTTCTCCCTTATGACTGGGACTGGGGACAGCACAGAGGAAAACAGTGGAGAGAACCAGAGCAAGTTTTACCTATTAGGAGAATGAAAACCTAAAAAGGGAAAGAGGAGGACAAGGGAAGCCAAAGCTGTGATGGTCCACTGCAGGCCACACATTCCTACAGACACCGGAAGGTTCTACCAAACAGTCACAAATGACACGGTCTTCCTACTTCCCCTCAATGCTAGGCAGTAGGGTCTCAAACTCATACTGTCATCACTGGTGCTACAGGTTGAGGGAGGCCTGGCCCTCACCCGGGAATGCCGCTTGTCCCTGCCCTCATGGTGGGATAACCAACAGTGTCCTAGCTGCCTCCAGGTGAGAACTGACAGTACAGGGCAGTAAAGATCAACAAAATCCAAAATAGTCTGCATTGCACAGTTCCATTTCTATGACACTGAAATCGGAAGCTTGGCATTGTGGGTCTAGCATCGACTGTGGGTACTGCTTTGTGAGAATTCACTGGGAAATACATGTTTGGGCTGGGTTGGTGGAGGGGCTCACATGGTAAAGTGCCTGCCTAGCAAGCATGAGGCACCGAGTTCAAACCCCAGCACAACCAAATATGTATATGTATTTTGCTTGGGCACCTTTTGTTATATTTTAAATTTTTTGAAGTTTCTCCCTTCTTTTTTCTTTTTTAAGGAATAGACCTTTCTTCACTTTTCCTAGCAAGCCATGACACTGAAGACAAGGTTTTCATAGACATTGAAAACAACACAGGGTGCCACAATGGCCATCAATCAGCCATTACCTTCCAAAGTCTCAAAACCATGAAAAAACAGGAAATACGTGATAAATTCAAAGCAGCCCTGAAGATGATAAAGGAGGGAAAAGTAATCTGATAGAAAGGTTGGGGGTTCAGAACAACAAGGTAACTGCCTCAAAATCCCCTTCTCCATACAAAGGAACGGTGAGGGATCAGCTTCCCACAAGACGTGACGCTGAGCCGTGCTCACACAGGAAAAAGCGAGCCAATGCATACAGCTGCAGCTGGTGGTTGAAACCGCTACCTCTTCTCCACCTGCCCACCCTCATCCTGTCCTCCCCACAGCCCTGTGCACAGCAGCTGAGAACCAGCAATTGCAGCCACAAGAGGGCAGCCCCTGGAAAAGCTGCTGTCAGAGGACTTGGCATTATTTGACCTGAGTTGACTTTTACTCTGGAGAAAGCCGTCCTCCCACAGCATTGGTCAGAAACAATCGTGCAACTGTTTGACTTCACATCTGTCTGAAGCCATGATGCTAGTCAGGCAAAAATGAGCCAAAACACCAAGAAAGAATATCTGGAAGCAAGACACCTGGGGGCATCCCAAAAGCCCTGGCATGTTCCAGGCATTGAGATGTTTGAGCAGGCTGTATGCACAGTGAGGAAGCACTTGAGCATCTGTTTTCTCACCTGTGGCTGAGCTGCAGGTTTTGTGCAAACAGCAAGTAAAGGCCAAAGCAGCAGCATAATCTGCCAAAGCTTTGAGAGGCAAAGATGGAAGACTTCCTGGTTAAAGCACTGAAGAAACTGCCAGCCATTAGCTGAGCACCAAGCCACAGGCCACATACTACAAGGAAGACAAACTCCAAAATCCAGGGAAATCATTCAATAGCATCAGCCAAGAAACAAAACCTGGAGGGTCCCCACATCGTACCATTTTAACAGTCCAGTTTTCAACAAAATTATCAGACAGGCAAAGAAACACAGACAGGGAAAACGGCAGTTGGCAAATACCGTCCCAAAGAGGCCCAGGTGTTGAACTTACAGACAAAGACTAAAACCTAGCTTTTATATATGTATGGTCAAAGGGCACAGGAAATCTTGTCTAGAGAATCAAAATGACAGTACCAAAACTGTCTCACCAAACAGGACCAATAGAGAAGTTACCTGGAAGAAACCAGTGAAATAAAGTATAACGATTGAATTTGAGCTGGTAGAATCAGCAGCAATTTAGAAGGCAGGGAGGAGAGAGAAAAGGCCAAATGTTTAAAGAAATAATTGATGAACAAACTTGCCCAAATTCAGACAGGCACCAGTGCTCATACCTGTAATCATAGCTACCTTGAGGCTGAAATCAGGAGGACTGAGGTTTGAGGCCAGGCCAGGCAAATAGTTTGGGAGACCCCCCCCCCAATCTCCAAAATAACCAGAACAAAATGGACTGGGAGTGTGGCTCACGTGGTAGAGCGCCTGCTTTGCAAGTGTAAAGCCCTGAGTTCAAACTCCAGTCCCATCCCCCCAAAAAAATGCCCAAATTTGATGAAAAATATAAGTTCAACACACTTTAAGCAGGATTAACTAAGACTCCCACACCTAGACATATCAAAGCAGGAAAACGAGGATCTAGACTGGGACCTTCCAGATCAGCGGGCCACTGCACAGCAAAGCCATGAAGAAATTCCCAACCCAGACTCCTTTGACTGACTGCAAAACTACACCTCACAACTTCAGGAGAAATTAGGACATTTGCAGATTAAACAAAAACAGCCTTTCTGCTAGCAGATTTGTCCTTCAAAACAAAATGCTGTTCTGGGAGTGTGGCTCAAATGGTAGAGCACCTGCCTGTGTTTAAACCCCAGTACTGCCCCCCAAAAAAATGCTGAAAGGGTTTTTCATGTGGAAAGGGAACACTGGTAAAGGTGACACATGGTAAAGGTGGCAACAAGTTTTTATGGCTTCAACAATACCCGAGAGTAACAATTTCAAAGGAGAAGAAATTTATGTTGGCTCCTGGTTCTAGAGGTGTCAGTTTATGGTCACTTGGCCCTGTCACCATGGACCATCGTGAGGCACCTCATAGCAGCCGGGAAGCAGAGACAGCAAGAGGTCAGGGACTAGGTAAACCTTTGCAGGGCACGTCCCAGTGACTGGCTTCCTCCAACTAGGCCCCAGCCTAGTTGATTGATTGACCCATTGATGAGGTCAGGGTCCTCATGACCAAATCACTTCTCAATGACTGGGTCTACCCAACTGGGGACCAAGCCTTTAACACATGAGCCTTTTGGAGGACACTTCATATCCAAACCATAACAGCAAGTGCAAAAGACAAAAGTATTTTTGTGTTTAGCTCATGTGATTTTTAAAACAGTAATTACGAGACTGCTGATGGGGTCTGGATAGGGGAGACAGCACACTGGAGTAAAGGCTCCCGATAGAGTCACCACCAACTCAAACCACTATAGTCACTACACTCATTGGAATCCCAGCAGGCCAGGTAGGGTGGGAGGCTGGGGTACAGCTCAGTGGTAGAGCCCTTGCCTAACGTGCCAGGCCCTGGGTTCAGTCCCCAGTACTGCCAAAAACTAAAAAACTAAAACTAAAAATAAACCA